TAGTGCTAAAAGTCAGTATTGGCTAACTTTTCATAGGAATGGTATTAAAACCTAAAATTTTTGGGGTTAGTGGTTTTAGACACTGATGTTTCGAATGAGCAAAAAAAATCAAAAAAAATTTTTTATCGAGTGCCTCGTATATAGTAACGATGCTCGATGGGCTCATGGAAGCTCTCTTAAATAACCAATAATTTTCCTGTTGTGTGCATATTTCACATCTATTTTTCTAATAGGTTTTGTAAAAAATGTCGTCAAGGACGTGAACGGACAAAAGTAGATAGTAGTGATGATAGACAACATCTAGTATCCAGAGACAGGTAATTATCATTTAAATTTATGATCAAAAATAAATAAAAATTATGCCTAAAGATCAGATAACGATATAAAAATCACTGATGCAGCTCATTTACAACAAAACAATGGAACATTTCATTTACAAGAACGTCGTCCAACGATTGCTGAAGAAATTATGGAATTTCTGTAAGTTACTTATACTTAACTAAAAATCAATGTCTTTCTTCATTTGAATGTACTAGACAAGAAATCTATCGATGCATAACGTATGCAATATTAAATTTGACTTGATACATAAAAAGCCTGATCACAATAGATGATTAAATGCACTTTTCTAACTTAATTTACAGCTATATAACTATTAATAATTCTCGTTCTAAGATAGTTTTTTTCATTTTAATTTTCAATCTTCAAAAATTTTTATCCTGTTTTTTTTCTTTAGTTTACCAAGAACTACAAATCCATTATTAAATCCAATTAAACGTAATCTTGTTCGTAGTATTTGGGTTGGCCTTTTAAGTGTATTACTTTTATCAATCTTATTTCTAATAACAACAATAATGTATTTAAAATCATTTGTATATTATATAAGTGATGAAAAAGAAGGAGAATTCTCAATTAATGATACAATTCATTTAGTTAAACAATGTGAAAGTATATCAGATTATCGCAGAGGAAATTTAATATTTTCTCCTTTTGCATTGACTTTAATACTTATTTTTTCTTGGTCAATGAAACGAGATAAACAATGTTTAGATATGTGTGATCGTCGACCTGGTAAAATATAGATTTGAGATTTTTTGTTTTCTGTTAATGAAAGTTTTCTTTAGGTTTATTACCACCAATTGAACCATTTCGTACAGGAAATCGTTTTACGACAGCAACTGTTTTTGGAATTATTGCATATGAAGTATTAAAAATTTTTGAAGAACTACTTTTTAATGCTGGTCAACCAGCACATCAAGGTGTACTTGTTGAATTATTGGAACGAATAGCTGTAGTCATTCTTGTCGGGTATAGAATTTCAAAGAAAAATAAAATAATTATTTCTTTTTCTTTTTGTTTTTAATCTTGAATTTATTTAGACTTCGATATTATCCGGTGCTTGCTTCTCTACAATTACGAAATATTGTTGCTCGTTTTTTCTCTTGTTTATATATACTCTGTGATATTGTATATACAATTGTACGAGAAGGTTCATGTATGGGTTTTCTACCATTATCAGGACAATATACTGTTTTGGAAGAAGCAAAACTTCGTAGAGTAAGTTAATAAAATTGAATACATTAAAAAATGATGAATATACATCAGATATTTATATTTGCATAAAAGTAGAATCGATTCAAGCACCGTTTTGTATTATTGTTTAAATTATTCTTCAGACCGACGATCACAATTCTACGAAGGTTCGATGAAATCCAATTAAATCAATAGTCGTAGATAGCTAAAATGTAATATTATATAATGAGGAATCGACTGACTTACAAAGTACTTCATTTTCAGAGTTGTTCAAAAGAGTAATAAGTACTATCCAATAACATTCATGATAATTCTCTTTATTACTTCAACAATTGAGATGCGGCTGTGTTTTTAACCTACATTCTTAGTAACGTATGTATAGACTAATTTTTCAACGTTCCAGCACATATGTTAGCTAAAGTGCAGAGGATGTGGAGAGTTTTATCCACTATTGGCATGTCAAACATGAAAATTGAATTTAATTATCGAATTTTAGACAAATGACGATCCGATGATCTTTTATTTAAATTCGAAGAAAAACATCTTAACTAATAAACATATGATTGTTTTTTGAATATTTAAATAATTAATATTGAGTTTATATTGCTGATATCTAACAAATCTTCATTAAGATAAAATCAAGAAATTGTTTAAATTAATTTTTTAGGAACTTGGTACATGGTTTATTATATATGGTTTAATAAAAAATATTCCACATTTCTTTTTTCTTTCATATATTGGTGCTGAATTATGTGTGCGTTTTGTATATGATTCAATATATGTACCAGTAAAAAAAAAGAAAAGTATTTGGTCAGCCCCTATTGCCCAATTAGATGAATCAGAATTTGCAAAATATTATGTTACAAAATTATTTCGACGTAATCGTCCGACATCTCAAATAATTATTCGACAAAATCCAAATACTGACAATCTAATTGATTATGAACATGAAACAAATCAACAAAATGTAATTAATCAATCACGTATAAAAAAATTTTTTGATTTTTTCTATTATTGGGATGATGATTTTCGTTTTACAACAATCGCAACCTGTACTTATACAGTAGCTATCGTTTTTCTATATTATTTGGCATGTACATTTGTTTTTCTATACATTGCAAGAACAACAGGACATATTTCATTTATAAGATCTTATATTGAACACTCAGCAAATGTTGGTGAGTAGTTTGAATGTTCATTGAAAATAATTTATTTAATTAGTTTTATTTTTTATTTTGATCATATAGAATTAGATGATTCGTTTACTTTGAAACGTGAGATAATATTAAGTGCTATTATAACAGCAATTATATACGGATTTCAATTATTTATTGGAATGCAAAATTATAAAAAACATAAACTACAATTATATAAAGGTATATATGTTGATGTTCCATCAGCAGACAATTTTAAACGAAGTTCAATAGCATCGAATTCTGTACATTATTCTGGTTTTCTTGTTGGATATATGGCATGGGGTTTTGTTATTTGTTTTCATTTAATACTTTTAATATTGATTGGAATAAAAATTCTTTCATTACAAATTCGTCAAATTGAATTAGCACTTGCTATTATTGTACCTATACTTGTTATTTATCTATTAAAAATGCTTAGTATGGCATCAGCTGGAAAGTTTATTTTTATACAAAAATTAGATAATAAATTGAATTTAAAAAGTCGTAAAACCTATGCAATATTTATTTATTTCAGTTTTTTTGCTGGTAAATTTCAACAATAAAAATGTAATGAGATATTTGTATTCTTTTTTATTTTTGAAGATTGTTTTCTTGGTATGGCTTCATGTATTATTCGATTGATTAAAGCAACATTTCTTAATGTTGTATTTATGGCTCGACTTGATTGGAGTTTTCTGGGAAGACCATTAGAAAAATTTGGTAAGCTATCTAGTAACACCATGTTAGGGAGAAATCTCTTAACATCCATCCAATGCTAGAAAATGAATTATTCTAGTGGGCAAAGATGGAATGTACGAATGAGTCAAATAAATTAGATAGCAATAAAAAAAAGAAGCTTAGAGTTCCATAATATGACATTTTTTTTTCATATGAAATGAGATACTTCATTCTAATTTGTTCCGAATATTTATATCATGAGATAATTTTGTTCGGATATCATTAGATGTTCGTTAGTAAAAAGTGATGCGCGTGGGTGTAGCAGCTTCTTTTTTAGGGAGATTGTAAAATTGTATGAATTTACACCAGATTCGAGTGTCCACAAGTCTAACAGTCAGAATCATGGTGAATCTGATAGGCTCAATTTAACTGTGTTAATTTAGCACATTGACGGAAGAGATTTTTGAAGAATTTCTCGCAAACTATCGTGACAGATTTTCAGCCACGATTGTACATCAATGTTTAGACAAAGTCAATTAAATAAAGCATTTCAATATCCGTATATTCTTCTTGATAAACCAATAACGACTAACGATCAGACCTTATTTACTTTTGTTAAAGAAGAGAAAAGATATAGAAATTGAAATTGAAATTTCATATTTGCAAAATCCTAAAATATCTATCTTATGATTTTTCTTTTCTACTATATCATATTTTAGACCTCGGTTTTGCTGCTTATGTCTCGTATTTGCATATGGAAGTAACATATACCAATCCAGTAATGCTCGGTTAGTGCGTTAAAGCAAACACGGAATGCTTCTTTATTTTTATTGTTTTTCTTAGCTTTTTGTTATTCACTTTTTGATGATATCATTCAACGGCGTCCAAAACATTGTTATGATGATGAATGTTGTATTGCTCCAGGTGAACTTGATGATGACAATGAAACTGAGACTGTAAGACAAAATCAACTACAACAGAACAGAACAGATTTAACACAAAATTCTCCACCAGTTACATACAGACGGCGAAATAACAATGATGGATCAGTAGAAGTTAATACTATTTCTAATGTAGATAAACCAATATCGAAAAGAACATCACAAATAGAAACAAACCAACAGCAACAAGATCTTTTAACAACAGAATCTCAACGTGGATCCATAGTAGGAAAAAAATAGAATAGTTTCATTTTATTTTTATTTCATTTATATTTCTTAGATATCTACTAAAGAAAATCGAAAGAATATTAGTAAAAAAACAAAACAAAAACAGTCAAATATTGACAACGAAGAAAAACAAAGTAATGCTTCGACTAGTACTGGATCTACTTCTCGGCAGCAATTACAATTTAGTTCTGCTCCTCCAATACCAATTCGTAAAGATCTACCATTCGAACAAGATCAAAGTGATGATCGAATTGATGGTGATAGAAGTTTGAAACGAAAACCATATCCTACTGTTGCAAAACTTATTTCACAAAAAGAAACACGTTTATCATCAATTCCACAATCATCAAAAATAAATATAGATAATCAAACAGACGAAGATGAAGATGAAAATATATCAAAACCAAAATATAAAACTAAGGAAAAGAAACAGAAAAAATCAATAAAATTACAAATTCATGAAGATGAAGATGAAGACAGCAGTCTATCTAAACAAATAATAGTAGCAGCTGAAAAGAAGAAACAACGATCGGAAACAAGAAAAAAGAAATCACCACAAACAGCGATAATTGAAGACGACGATGATAATGATGGCGCGCTAAAACAACAACAATCTAACAAAAAGAAAATTTCGAATAAATCAAAGAAAGATATCTCAAAATCAAACATTTCGAAAGAAGATGACAATAGTAGACGTACTGGTAAAACTTCTAATACTATTAAAATGATCATTCCATCTAAACAACCTATACGAAACAATCAAATAATAAAACAAGATTCATCATCGGATAATACTTTTGATAGTACTACACGATCATCTAAACCTCAACAAGATACAACTTCAACATCATATGAAATTATTGATCGAAAAGTACGAAAAAAACCTGATTCTAGTCAACATACAAAAGCTAAGAAATCTACAGACAAATATCATCAAGACACAGTTCGAACAGAAGAAGAAGATGTTGCTGTTCGACCAACAACAGTCTATTCACCACCATCATATAATTTAGCAACAACTCCACTTGATTCATATTTTTTACGAACAATTTCATATCGTAAAGCTCAAGAAAATACACCACCACTAACCCTACATCGACCATATATTTCTCCCATACAACGTATGCATCAAGATACAAATGATGATGATAGTCCTTATTCTGAAATAGTAAATGATACAATTCGATCGAGTATTAGTAATCGTTCTTATTCAAAAATAGGATCATTAAAAACTTCATCCAGTTATTCAAATAAACAACAAAAATTAGAAGAACAAAAACAAACTGAAGATGATACCAATGTCGAAACGGAAGAAGAAGAAGAAGAAGAAGAAGAACAAGAAGAAAGACCAGACGAATCTCATCTTTTAAGATCTCAACCAACATCATTTCCTACAGTGCCAACAGCTAATTCAACAATGAATACTTCAATTAAATCAGAAAAAGATCAAGAAATTGAAAGAATTAAACGAAAGAAACGATTACGTTTTCGTTGGCATTTTCTTTATACACTTATTAGAAATTATCATCTATTTGATTTAAGAAAAGAAATACAAAGTCGACTTGCTCATTTACATTTACAAAGAAGTAGTCTTATTGATGAACAACAATTTCTAACGACTACTACAGCTGAAGAACCAGAAACTACTAAGCAGACAATAGAATCTCTGGTACCAGAAGAACGTAGAGGGTAAGTTTATTCTATATTTTACATCTTAAATATTTTATTTAAAAAAAAAAATATTTTTGTTAGATAGAAAAATTTCTGTTCTTTTCAGTTTTACTGTAAAACATAGATGACCCTCGCGACTGGAAACCTACCGATACTGCGCCTCAGCCCTAGAAGAGACAAGGCTATTGCGCCACTGTTGACATGATTTTCGAGAAATTCTTCGAAAATCTCTGCTGTCACTGTGCTAAATTAGCACAATTAGATTCAATTCATCAGATTCCCAATGATTCTAACTGTTGAACATGTAGACTCTCAAATCAGATGCAAATTCAAGCAATTTTACCATCTTCTTAAAGAAAAAGCTACCATTGAGTGATAGTATTTTTGAAACATCTCCCACATCACAGTTGCATCACCATGGATATGTCTGCTCTAACGCTACAATGTAGGTCATTTTATTTAAACAAAACAAATTAAAGAAAATTTGTCATTTTTGACTTGTGCACATATATATCTTCAATTTAATGATTTCAAGATCTCACGGAAACATATTTTAAACAAAAAACAAAATCAGCATTTCGTATTTAGCTTGTTTGTTTTTTTTTTCTTTAAGCTTAGGATCATTAACATCAGATATACCAACACCAATAGAACGACGACCTCCATCAACTCATCGTTTATTTTCTGTGCCTGTATCTTTACTTAATGATTATCCACAAAGTCCAGCTGAACGATATATTGCAAATCGTGCACGTATGTTATATGATGTTAGTGCTGAACAAATGAATTCACCTCATATTTCATCTGTATCACAAACACCTACAATAATTTCAGCATATAATCAACAACAACAACGAAATCTAATGACTACGACCTTAAGTGATCAAAGTCTTGGTTTTCATGTTTCACCTAGTGTTATTGTTCATCCACCATCTGATACTAGTACAAGATCACGTGAAAAACAAGTAAATGATTATCCAATCCGACGTGCATTACAACGAGAACTTCTCACATCATCATTATTTCAACCTGTATCCACCTCAAATCAATCTACAGCTGATTATCCTCTAGCAGCTTCGTCCATTGTAACTTCTCCAACATTATGTACACAAATGAGTCATGATCAACATATGCAAGTATGGCGTCAAAATCAGGTAGAAAAACTCCAAAAACGACGACGACACTGTTATATCTATGGTACACCATCACAACAACCTTTAGTAGATAGAGTTTCCACAGCTACCATTCTCACACCACAAATTCTTATGACTATACCAAAACAACAACAAGCTCCATCAACATCAAGTGATGATAAAACTCGACGAATACCAACTATTTCACCATTTCGATTTCCAGTTCCATCAGATCAAGTGTATACTGCACCATCATCTACTATAAGTGATATACAAGTAGAAACTAATAATCAAAAATCGAAAAGAAATCGTCGACAGAAAAAAATTCCTATTCCACAAAAACGTATGGAACGTCTTGATGAAGACATTCAAGAAACGTCTAATGCAAACAAATCATTAAAAATGACATCAGCATCAACCCGTCGAAAAGATGTACAAAGTAGTTCATCTGATATTACAGAAGTTTAATTTTTCATTTTTTTTCTATTATTGTTATATTACATGAAATTGTTATTCATGTGAATTTTTCTTTTGTTTTTGTTTTATTTCTATTTTAGGTGTTTTGTAATAAGCAAAACACAGAAACAGCGAGTTATTATTTCGAATATGATGCAGAAAGAAAATTATAAATTGTTTTTAAAATTTATATTTCTTTTAAATAAATGAAAAGTATAGCTCAGCAATTAAAATATCACTATAGACAATACAACTTATACTAATTGATGCTCTTTTATTGTTAATAAAAGATAAGTGAAGTCTTACTGTAACTTTAAAATTTTGATTATGTTTTGAAAAAGTTTATTTCATAAGTTTTGTTGTTTTACAAGAAAGTTAAACTGATTATCTCATTTTCTTTCATTGAGCTTTTCAGTACCCTTGTCATAATATCCAAATGCTGAGTAACGACGAGCTACAAGTCACAATATCCAGTAAAACAGATACCCAACTTTATAGATATATATTAAGGTATTGAGTGTGGGTGCGGATTTTTAATAAATTTGATGAGATATATTCAATGAACATATAACGATAATTTTTATTGATAACGTGGCAAAAAACTCATACTATTTCAATTCGATTTTTTGAAAATAACGATTTTTATAATGTTTTCAGAGTCGAGAAATCTGAATTTCTAATCGGTTCTTCGTAATTCTTTAGTTCGATTTTTTCAGTCAAGAAAAGCCTTTTTCAAACAAATAACTGAATGTTTTGAAGCATGAGTAAGCTAAACAAAATAGACTTCTACTAACCGAAAAAGTTAAACTCAAGAATTTCGAAAAATTGATTAAAGATTCAGATTTGTCGACCCTGGAAAGCTTATAAAAAAAAAGCTGTTCTTTTCGAAAGATCGATTTGAAATAGTATGACTCACTCATAGCTATCATCTTGATTTTCAGTCTAATTCTGAATATGTATCAGCACCTTCAGTACGGAAAGATGTCGAAATGGTGCTGAGGGTTCAAAATCTGTACTTTTCTCCTTGATATAAATTGTCTTATACATTAACATTTATGTCCAAAATTTTCAGTTCTAAATATATCTATATTTCTTGTTTACACTATATTGATTTGCAATAATTTAATTACAGAAAAGAATGAAACATTTTTTATAGATATTTTCTGTTGAATGTACGATCATTTATTATAACTGACCGTAGACACATATATTTAATTATCATCTGTGCTTATTAAAACCTATGAATAGATAAAATACCAAATAAAAGACGAAAAACAATTACAAATATTAGTCTGATGAATATAACTTGAAACAGATTCTTTTACATATCGTTTTTCTTTGGTATTCGTTTTTGATTAAGAGAAATGAACATTTTAAATTGTCATGTGAAATAGCAAACAAAAAGATGTTAAAAAAAATACTCTATGATAATTGACACAGGATTCTTTTCTAGTATAAAGTATACAAAATTATTTTTATTGTATCTCGTTTATCTTTTTTTTTTGAAATATATCTTCTTGAAAAAATATTTTGAAGATGTAAATTATTTCGATCATATATTAAATAATTTTACAAAAAAATGTTCTTTTTTATTCTCTTGATGTTTTAGAAATGATATTTTCTATCGATCAATAATTGTATTAATGTAAATAATTTTTATTTTATGAAATAGTTAAGTGTTTAATAGGATGAATTTTAAATGATTGAATTATATCTGATTGAAACATAGTTAATAAAAATTGTAATGATTATATTGCAATCTGTTTGATCTATTGTTGGAAGTTTTACGATTTGAAATATAAAGAGTTATGAACTTTGTTTTATTTCATGATAAAGATTTCGTCAGATTTCGAAGAATATTCAACAAAGTTTGATGAACAAAAATAAATGATTTAAATCGTAAAGAATTTAATAGAATCATCGTTTCAAAAATGTCTGAACTTCAATTCATCAAAGTTTGGTATAAACAATTTAAGTCCAAGTCAAATCTTTCTAATCTCAATATCAACAAAGAGAGGATGACATACCTTTTTGTTTTTTTTTACTGGTCAGATCGCAAAATCGCTTTATTTGTCTTCTATAAAATCATAAATTTCTTTTCAAATAATTAAGATTCTGACAAACAACAAGATTATGTTTCGTAAAAATCATACTCAATTTTACAAAACAACTGGTAGGCAGAAAGTCAATATTTTAAAAAACATAACAAATAAAATGATTTTTAAATTCATCATGGCCTTGTTCGATTAAAGAAAAAAGACAATAGAATCAAGAATACAAAGAATAAGAATGCCAAACAGAGGTTACATCTTGATTGTGAACATTTATTGTTTTGTTCAATTAAGGAAAAAGGATTAATCAAACATAATTGAATAGAGCGTGGATATTCTTTCACTCTCACCCTCATCGTTACATGCATATCTACACTCCAAGCCACGTTCGCATCACATCCTTAAAAAAAAAGTCTGAACGATACACGACATTTGATATGAGACTACCTCAAAGGATGTGACATTTAATCTAAAATCGAACTACCTGTGCTGAGAATCTTAATAATAGATGGTCGGAAAGTTTCCAGACCAGATGTTTATTTATTTTTAACGTATTTCCTAAGAGTCAAAAGCTATGAGTTAAGATGCTCTTTTCGAATATGAGCTTAGAAATGTTATCTCCGTTTTTCTCCAAGAGTAGTAAAATAATCTTTGAAAAGCCCAAAAATTAGTTTGGATGGAAATTATGGGTCGACGTTTCCTGTGAACATGTTTATTCATTTTGGCCTGCTTAAAAGTATTTTAGAATAGGTCCCGACTAGAATTTGAGTATGGGCTTAGAAATGGTGTCTCTATTTTTATTCGAAAGTCATGAGGAACTTTTTTAAAGATCTGAAAAATTATTTTTAATGCTGAGCCAATAAGTTTTTGTCTATCCTATAAGTTCCTTTTTAGAACATGCTAAAAATTGTTCGAGTCAGTCGTATTTTAGAGTAGACATTTCTCTATAAAATGTAATATTGAAATAAGCTGTAGCTTTTTACCGAAAAATTTTTCAAGAGCTCTTTTCAACGTAAAACAGTTGTCGATTTTTCAATAATGAATATTTAGAAAAAATGAAATTTGAGATGTCCTGTCGAAAGACACAAAAGATTTCAAATAGTGCATTCTCTAAGGTAGCTTTTGATCTGGGAGCTCATATATAAATAAAGATTGCAACTTTTAGTTTCGAATCGCAAACAGAACATGTTAACTCATAGCTTTTGAGTTATCGGAAGTATGTCAAAAATCAACAAACATCTTGTCTAAAAATTTTCCGATCACCCATTATATTTATTTTCGCTTGTTTTTCTAATGCGAACGTGTTTTTTCTCTCTCTCACCATCTCACCGGATTCCGTTTTGCGGACATTTTTCAATGCGTGACCACTTCCGTCTCTTCCAGTCGATTCTACTTTACGAACACTTTTTTTCTTCAATTAAGGAAAATATACGCAATCAAGAAGACGAGCCAAAAACATGATTCTTTCTTTTTGTCCATTAAAAAAAACAGAATATGCATTCTGAAAAAAAATCAAAGAAAAGAAAAGAAATTCAAAGATAATTATCTTTTCTCTTTCTTTTTTAAAATTATTAGTTTTTAACTTTATTCAAAACTGTCTCATGATATTTCATATTCAATTTTTGATTTAAATAAAAAATTACATTAACACCTAATACCCATACACCTTCAAGTCCATTAAAAAGCCCAAAAATCCATTGTGTAATTTTTGATGATGTTTGAGTTTTTTCTTTGATCATTAAATCTAAAAATGGTCCAAATATCCAAGCAATACCTAATGATATACATAATGTAATCCATATCATTATTGAAACAATCATTCGTTTTTGATTTGTTTGTGACATTTTACGACCAATAAAAAATTGAATTAAACGAATAGTTATTCCAATTATAATTAATACATTTAATGCAAGAAAAATAATTATTGGTATTGAAATAAATCGAAATATAAATGATTTATTAAACCAACATATATCTTTATATTGTAGAAATAAATTTGTCCATCGATTTATAACTATATTGATTATTATTGTTGGTATTAAAGAAATAAGAATAATAAGAAAAAAACTTGCATAAAACCATTTATTAGAGATAATTGTAAATTCAATAAAAATAAAATGAAAAATTATTGTTAAAAAATATCCAATACCAAGTAAAGTTTTACTTGCAAATGTTAATATGAAAAAAAAATACGTTGCAATAGCTAAATTTCTTGAATGTAGTGAACATTTATCTTGAACTATTAATTCTATATTTGATGATTTATAACTACGAATTAAAATAATAGTTAATAATATAAATAAAATTATTGAATTTGATAAACTAAATATATTTGCTATTGATAGATGATGAAAAGATTTTGCTTGTCGATGTATTGAAAGAATTATTGATATAGAAAAACATACTATTGACAGTATAGCAATAATTATACTTGGTATAAGGGTATCACGCAGAGTTTTATGTGGAATAAATATTAATGCAAAAGATGTGGTGTGATTACAAAAACAATAATGACGATTTAAATTAGAATCTAAAGAATAAGAACAACCAGTATCATTCCATTGATCATATTGCCAAAATACACAGAAATATTTTCCAGATGAAAGTTTATTGTCAATAAATGACATATTAATAGAACGTGGAGAGTTATTCGGTATATGTAGGCCAACAACAGGTGAAGCTATAATTATGTTTTGATCTTTTTGTGCATAACGAAAAAATATTGATGGAAGATAATAAAATGTATAAATATCTGTTCTAGATAAATTTTCAATTGATATTGGATCAATTGTAATACTTGCTATTGAATTTGTATTATTTATTTCCGTTGAATAATATAAAAGTGAATTGTTTTGATTGATTTGAGAATAAGAATAGATTGAATTATTAGTTTTTAAAAGACTTAAAATACCAACTGAATTCTTACTAGTATTTTCTTTTTTATTGATTGATTCAAGATAA